CCCCCCCCCCCCCCCCCCCCCCAAGACTCACCAGATCGAATTCATCGACGTACGGTTCCTAATCCTATGATCCTAACAAGTATAAAGGGAGGAGTCCACTTACAGAGGAGGTCGATGACGAGGCGTCCGTCGGAGAGGCGACCGGTTGATCTACGGAAGAAGGTACGTCCGTTGGGGGGATTGACGGAGTAGCCGAGTCCAGCGACGAGTCCACCCGTGTCCGAGTTGGAGTCGCCGAAGTTGAAGATGTGGACGGGCCTTGTTGGACCAAGACGGCCATCGACTGAGGCTGAGAGAATGATCAGAAGCACCGCTCCAGAGAGTGTCAGAATCAGACCCACCGACTGAGCCCAACCCAACCCCTGCAGCACATGCACCATTTTTATCCAACTCTATTCACTTCGCTTCACACTGTGACTTGAGAGTGGACAAGAAGCCCACATCTTTTAAAAGCTATACTTCCAATTTTCAGACATGGAAATTTTTATTTATTTATTTTCTGACATGAAAGAATAAATAATTGTTTGTTTTATTTTTTTAATAAAGTTTTTCTACCAAGCAATATTGAGGGAATGGAAAATCAAACTTTTGACTTAGTGTTTGTTTGACATTTCTTATTTGGGGTGATAAGTGATTTTTAAATTTTTTTGGAAAGTCAAGCTCGTTTGATAAACTATAAGAAAATCACTTATTGTTAAAAATTGTTACGAGGGAAAGCAGCTAATGAGGTGCTTTCATTTTCTGATTATGCTGAAATCAGTACCAACAACATTTTTAACAAAAAATTTATCAAACGCCAAATTGTTTTCTCTCGCAGCAACTCTGACAACAATTATTTTCACAGCACAGCAATGCCAAATTGGCCCTTTAAATTGCGAGAAGAACTTGTGTGTTACGAATATAGCCCATGTTATACAATTTTTTCTCTTAAGCTAGCCCATTTTTATTTTTCTATTACCACCGACACCTGCATTTGCTCTACATAAAGAAAAAAATAACAAAAATGTATGCATTGTCAGAATAGCAATACTAAACAGAGATTTAACAGAGAGAAGCAGAAAATCTTAGAAGAAGAACTGATGTATTTCATTCATTGATTATTCAACACAGTACAGTGATGGTTTTTATACTAGCTTATCAAAGCTTTGTGTACACGTTTCTAACCTTCTAACCTCTCTAACTTCTCTAACAGAATGCTAACTGTTTTGCTAAAACCTGCCTAACAGTCTTAACAACTCTCTTCTTCAATCTTCTGACATGTGGCAGAGTGAGGACCGTTGATATCTTTACATGCCCCCTCAATCTCATGCTTGGAGGAGCCAAGCATGAGATTGGAACAATGATGCTGGAATAAAGGAATAGACAGCCCCTTAGTGAGAATGTCAGCAAATTGTTCCGCGGATGAGACATGTTGCACAAGTAAATCACCTCGAATGACTCGTTCTCTGACAAAATGATAATCAATCTGGAGATGTTTCATTCCGGAATGAAACACCGGGTTGGAAGAGAGAGCAATAGCAGAGATATTATCACAATGAATTAAAGGAGGTACATGTAAGGAGACGTGCAGATCACAGAATAACTGTCTGATCCATGCAAGTTCAGCAGTAGCAATAACCAAAGCCCTATATTCTGCCTCAGTGGACGAACGAGAGACAGTATGTTGCTTCTTAGAAGCCCAAGAAATAGGACTAGAGCCTAAGTAAACAATAAATCCCGAAACAGATCTGCGATCATTAGGATCCCCAGCCCAGTCAGCATCACTATAAGCGTGCAGATGAAGAAGACCAGGCTTAAACCAAATGTCAAAATCAAGAGTTCCTTTCAAATACCTTAGGATTCTCTTAACTGCCACAACATGAGATTCCATGGGATTATGCATAAATTGACAAGCTTGATTCACTGAGAAGGCAATATCTGGCCTTGTGAAAGTGAGGTACTGCAGAGCACCAACAATGCTTCGATACTGCTCTGGATGAGCATAAGGTTTGCCATCATCTTTCAACAGTCTGTGATAAGGGAGACAAGGAGTAGGACACGGTTTTGAATCCTGCAAATCAACCCTGTCAAGCAGTTCCTTGATATACTTAGTTTGAGACACAAACAAGCCAGCAGACTGATATGAAATTTGCAGCCCCAGAAAATAAGTCAACTGGCCTAAATCCTTCATATCAAACTCCTGAGTTAGAGCACCAATTACAGATGTAATAAGAGATGAATTACTGCCAGTAAGAATGATATCATCAACATAAAGAAGCAAAACCACAGTACCAAGCGACGAATGTTGAATAAAGAGAGAAGGATCTGCATTTGAAGCTTGAAAACCCAAGCTTGGTAAGAAGCTAGTAAATCTTTCATTCCAAGCACGAGGAGCCTGTTTTAAACCATACAAGGACTTCTTGAGTCTGCAAACAAAGTCAGAAGGATGATGCTTACTCTCAAAGCCTTGAGGTTATGTCATATAAACCTCCTTTTGAAGAACCCCATGCAAGAACGCATTTTTAACATCAAGCTGTCGTAAGGACCACTGAAACTGAGCGGCAAGAGCAAGAACTAATCGAACCGTGGTTGGTTTAACTACCGGACTGAAAGTTTCATAATAATCAATACCCTCCTCTTGACTAAATCCCTTAGCAACCAGGCGAGCCTTATGCCTAGCTATAGAACCATCTGCATTCTTCTTGATCCTATAAACCCATTTACAGCCAACAAGATTCTTATGAGCTGGGAGAGGAACCAAATCCCAAGTACCTTGAGCATGAAGAGCCTCAATTTCCTCCCTCATTGCAGATTGCCATTCTGGTGATTGAGAGGCAGCCTTGAAAGAACTCGGCTCAATTGTAGACAAATCAACAGATGTAGAAGCAGAAAAAGCCTTCCTCTTGGAGATGCCATTCTTAGACCGTGTTGTCATAGGATGCAGATTTACATGTGGCAGAGGCAAGATAACACGAAGACTTTCAGGCTGAAAATCAGGATCCACAGGGAGAGGAGACTGTGTAGCAGATTGTGGAGCAGAAGGAGAAGCAGTCAAAGATGCAGTGGCTTCAGAGATGGGTGGAGAAGGTGAGGAAATGGAAAGAGAAGGGATAGGTGATAAGACAGTATTAGTGAATGAAATAGATGGAGGAGGAGAAGAGGAAGTGAGAGACTGAGATGAAGAAACATTGACTGGATGGGCAGATGTGAATGGAAAAACAGTTTCATCAAATAGAACATGTCGAGTGACAAACAGTCTATTGGTAGTGAGAGAAAAACAAATATAGCCTTTATATTGTCCTGCATAGCCTAGAAAGACACAAGTAGAAGTTTTAGGCTGAAGTTTGTTTGTATTATAAGGCTTGAGCAAAGGAAAGCAAGCACAACCAAATACCCTTAGATGATTAATGGCTGGAGCAGATCCAAACAATAAGAAATAAGGAGATTTGAAATGAAGAGTTTTACATGGCATTCTGTTGATCAAGTAGACTGAAGTAGCACAAGCATGAAACCAGAATTTTGGGGGTAGATGAGCAGTTTGCAATAAAGTGATAGCAGTCTCTAAGATGTGTCTGTGTTTTCTCTCGGCTAAACCATTTTGTTCAGGTGTATAGGGACAAGATTTATGATGAATGATACCTCTAGCAAGAAGATAATGCTGAAATTTATGACTAAGATACTCACCACCTCCGTCACTTTGAAAAACTTTAAGAGAAGCAGAGAACTGAGTGACTAAGTAAGCATGAAAATTAACAAAAATGGAGTAAACTTCAGCTTTATTGAACATTGGAAATATCCAAGTAAATCGAGTACACTCATCTACAAAGCTAACATAATATTTAAACCCCTCAACAGATATTGTTGGAGAAGGACCCCACACATCACTATGAATCACTTCTAAAGGGTTTACAGATTTTGCTGCTGGATAATGAAAAGGAAGTTTAGCTAATTTGCCTTCTAAACAATGATGACAGACAGATTGGACTTTATCTGAAGAAAAAGGAACCTGTGATTGTCGTAAAAGAGCAGTAGTAATAATATTGGAGGGATGACCAAATCGCTTGTGCCACAAACTGGTATTTAATGGATGTCCAAGAAAGCAGAAATGTCGTTTGACGAGAGAAGCAGCTGGAGTGGGATGAGGTTGTGAAGGAAAGAAAGGAATAGAATATAGGCCAGCTCTACACAGTCCCTTGAGAAGAACACTCCCCGTGAGTTTGTCCTGAATCCAAAAGCCAAAGGCATCACATATAAATCTGCAGTTATTGTCTTTACATAACCGATGCACTGAAAGCAAATGTTGAGATATCCTTGGCACATGTAAAACTTTTGATAATTGTAAAGAACAATGAGGAGTATTCAAGGAAGAAGAGCCAATACTAGAAATATTCAAACCTGAACCCCCTGCAGTGGTGATTGTCTCATTTCCAGAGAAAGGGGTAGCAAGACTAAGCTGAGACAAATCAGAAGTCATATGGGCCGTTGCTCCAGTATCAGCTACCCAAAATTGCTCAGTTGATGAGGAAGGAGAACAATTGGCATGCATTGCAGTAAGATTGGATGAAGGAGGTTTGCCTTGATAGGAAAAATTGCCCCTGTGGTAACACTGAACAGCAGTGTGGCCATATTTCCAACAAATTTGGCATTGAACAGAGGAATTATGACCTGTGAATTGCTGATGGCGTTGATAACAATCAGCAGCTAGATGACCTTTCTTGTTACATATTTGACAAATTGGAATATCAGTACCTGGTAACACTGAACAGCAGTGTGGCCATATTTCCAACAAATTTGGCATTGAACAGAGGAATTATGACCTGTGAATTGCTGATGTCGTTGATAACAATCAGCAGCTAGATGACCTTTCTTGTTGCATATTTGACAAATTGGAATATCAGTACCCGAACCAAGGATGCCAGGGCCAGAATTAGGTGGAGCTTGATACGGTCTTGGACCAGATGAAAACTAATGCCGAGGTCTGCCTCTTTCTCTATAGAATGAACCTCTATTAGGGCCAGAGTGAAAACCACCATTATGTGAAAAAGAGCCACCATTAGAGCTAGAGTGAAAACCTCCATTGACACCACTATTGACACCACCATTGTGGCCAGATGAAATAGAAGATGGGACAGATGTGGAAGTGTCAGCAAGAACAAGGGATTTTCCTTTGAATGATTGATTATTCGCCATCATCGCAGAGGCAAAAGGAGTGGCAGAGGTAGTATGCTCAAGAATAGCCTCTTCAGCAAGCAACTGAGATCTAAAATCTTTGAGTGAGAGCACATTTTCCCTACCTCGAACCATACACCGAAACGTATTATATTCTAGGGGAAGACCATTAAGAGCCAAGATCACAATATCATCATCATCAAAGGAAACCCCAGCAGCAGCAAGATGATCTCTGACATCTTTTATCTTTTGCAAGTATTGAGAGACTGGTTCAGCACCCTTCTTGATATTCTGAAGCTCACTTTTCATCTGAAAAATCCTAGCTTTGGTAAC